ATTTATATTTATATATAGAATTCCCTGCCTCCTTTAGAATAGAATAGTTTTCCTGGGCCCTGTCTTGATACATTCCATACTCTGGATACTTAACAACCGAGGTTACCATTCCAGGCCATCTCTCATACCTAATGACTCCACATTATGGGCTTCTGAGAGAAAGACACACTCTACTATATTCTTAGTATGTCCCCAGTTAACACAGCACTGGATTTTAGCATAGGCTGAACAATGTCTGGGAGGGTAGAACACCTCACAACCCCTTATTCTTTCTCACCTACTATTCCTTCATCTCTTCCCAGGTGCAGCGAGGAGGCTGGAAAGGCAGTACTGTCATTTTAGGCCAGGACTTAGCCATTGTTTCCTCAGCCCTATACCCTGTCAGCAGTTGGCTCTTTGCAGCTAGAGTTTTACAGTCGCAGAATTACTAGAAAGTCCAAACTGTATTCAGCACTGAAGTGGAAGAAAATTGTTCCACAATCAGAATCTCTATCCCCCTCTGCCACCCCTCCCCTCTTCCTGAGCAGCACATGCAGTCTTCCCACACTCAAGCATCTGTATATAGGTTGATGGTGTTGAGCAGTTGGGTAGACATTCAGTAGCATCACAGTAGTCAGTAAGACAACCAGCACAATGCAAGTTGCTAGGTTGGCCTGTTATCCTATATAATAAAAGAGAAACATGCAAATTAACCATCACCCCGCTACACCCACCAGCCAATCAGAGTGATTATGCAAATTAACCCAACAAAGATGGCAGTTAATTTGCATACACAGGCGCGGAGCGAAGACTGAAGATGACTGAAGATGGCGGCAATCAAACCTTGACCTCCTGGTTTATAGGTTGATGCTCAACCACTGAGCCACACCGGCTGGGCTCATCTTACTCATTTTTAAGTGCATGATTAGTTTCATGGTGTTAAGTATGTTCACATTTTTGTGCAGCCAGCCTAAGAACTTTTCATTTTGCAAAACTGAAACTCTACAGATATTAAACAACATCTCTTTCCTTTCATCATAACCACAGTGTTGTCACACTTCGAAAAAGTTAATGTTATTTCTTTAATAGCTTCCTATGCCCGGTCATTGGTCAAGTTTCCCAGGTTCAGTCCTGGCTGGTTTGGCTCAGTGGATAGAGCGTCGGCCTGTGGATTGAGGGTCCTGGTTCGATTCTGGTCAAGGGCACATGCCTGGGTTGTGGGCTCGTACCGCAATAGGGGGCGTGCAGGGGGCAGCCGATCAATGATTCTCATCATTGATGTTTCTGTCTCTCCCTCTCTGAAATATATATATATATATATATATATATTTATTTATTTATATAGAATTCCTTGCCTCCTTTAGAATAGAATAGTTTTCCTGGGCCCTGTCTTGATACATTCCATACTCTGGATACTTAACAACCGAGGTTACCATTCCAGGCCATCTCTCATACCTAATGACTCCACATTATGGGCTTCTGAGAGAAAGACACACTCTACTATATTCTTAGTATGTCCCCAGTTAACACAGCACTGGATTTTAGCATAGGCTGAACAATGTCTGGGAGGGTAGAACACCTCACAACCCCTTATTCTTTCTCACCTACTATTCCTTCATCTCTTCCCAGGTGCAGCGAGGAGGCTGGAAAGGCAGTACTGTCATTTTAGGCCAGGACTTAGCCATTGTTTCCTCAGCCCTATACCCTGTCAGCAGTTGGCTCTTTGCAGCTAGAGTTTTACAGTCGCAGAATTACTAGAAAGTCCAAACTGTATTCAGCACTGAAGTGGAAGAAAATTGTTCCACAATCATAATCTCTATCCCCCTCTGCCACCCCTCCCCTCTTCCTGAGCAGCACATGCAGTCTTCCCACACTCAAGCATCTGTATATAGGTTGATGGTGTTGAGCAGTTGGGTAGACATTCAGTAGCATCACAGTAGTCAGTAAGACAACCAGCACAATGCAAGTTGCTAGGTTGGCCTGTTATCCTATATAATAAAAGAGAAACATGCAAATTAACCATCACCCCGCTACACCCACCAGCCAATCAGAGTGATTATGCAAATTAACCCAACAAAGATGGCAGTTAATTTGCATACACAGGCGCGGAGCGAAGACTGAAGATGACTGAAGATGGCGGCGGTCACGGAGCTGGAGTGAGCAGGAGGCTTGGATTGCTCCCGGTGACAGAGGAAGCCAAGCTTCCCGCCGGCCCTGGGCTCCACTCAAGGAGGGTCTGGGGGCCTGGGCTCCACTCAAGGAGTGGCCCTGGCAACCCAGGGTTCCAGCCAACCCTGGCCTCCGCTCAAGGAGCTGGAAAAAAAAAAAAGGAGGGGGCTGGGAGCAGCCGGAGTGGAGAAGCCAAGCCTCGCTGCTGCAGCTGGACCAAAGGCTTGGGTTTCGGGGCCCGGAGGAAAACCGGTGCCGGCAGCCAGGGGAAGGAAGGCCTATTGCGTGAATCTTCTTGCAACAGGCCACTAGTCTATATAATAAAAGCCTAAGCGACCGTTACAGTGGAAAGACCAGAACGACTAGTCACTATGATGCGCACTGACCACCAGGGGGCAAACACTCAATGCAGGAGCTGCCCCATGGTGGTCAGTGCACTCCCATTGGGGAGTGCCACTCAGCCAGAAGCTAAGCTCACGACTGGCGAGCACTAAGGAGCAGTGAGCCTAGCGGTAAGGAGCAGCAAGCAGGTGAGCAGTAAGGAGCAAGGACTGCAAGAGGGTGCAGGCCGGGTTGAGGGCCCCCTCATCCAGTGCATGAATTTTGTGTACCGAGGCTCTAGTACTTTCATAAGTTTGGCTGGCAAAGAAAACAATGAATCCAGATGGATTTAGACAATTTATTAACTGACACATGCAGCAAAACATGGTGTTAGCAGCTAGTCTCACAGGATGATACCCCACCAGAGAGGTCAGATAATGGGCAGCAGAGGTGGTGGGCCATTCTGCTGCTCAGGAGCCAACTCTACACCATAGCCAAGTGTTCTCATAGCCTGGACCCTAAGCAGGCTGAGGTGGAAAGTCCCATGCTTTCACTCTCTGAAACCAGGGAGGTGAATGAGAACCTGCCTCATGGCAGCCCATCACAACATGGCCTTTCTCCTTGTGTGTCAAGAACTGCAGGGTTAGGCCCAGTCAAGACTCAAGTCAGCCTGCAGTTAGGCCTCGCCTATGTGTTCTATGTGAGAGATGCACAAGGTCAACAGGAGGCCAAGACAGATCTGCTCCTCCGTAGATGGGAGGAGCAAAGAAAAGGTAAGTGGGGAGCTGAAGGAATGGTAAAGTCTAAGTATAAAGACGTTTTTATAATTTGAAGCCTCTATGAATAACCAAGACATCCTTTCCATGAGTAAAGAGATAAATAGGCACTGAAGAGAGCCCGGATATCACTATGAAGTGGGAAAATGTATTCTAAGTTGTTTTCATGAGAAGCTTAGCTGCTTTTAGGAAAGCTGTAGGCCAGCTTTAAAAATCCAAAATTCTAAGAATCTGAAGGTTTATAAAAATGCCAGATCTGTGCCACCGTTTAACATAAATTCCTTGGCTGTGTGAAAGATGGGAGTGGTCAGGGCTTTCAAGTTCATTGGCATTCACTGGCTTCTCATGTCAGGGTTCAGGGTTTCCTTTGACACAGCACTCCAGTCGAAACATACAGTAGGCAACTAACATTTCACTTCCATAGCACTCAAGTCTGCAGATGCCATTTCCATAGCATTTCTTGTGTATTTCTGATGATATTGGATTCATGCCTGGAAAGACAATGAATGGAAGGAGAATTCATTATAGACCTGTTTGGACTATAAATAACAAGGCCCCGCCCCCTTTTTTTTCTACACTGATTCTAAGGAGACTAGTTCATAATGACTGATTTTGTTGGAATCAATTGATTCTGATAGAATTTAATTAATTCTAATAGATTCTGATTGAAAAAAATTAGCTTGTGCTATGGATTCAATTGCAGCCCCCTCTCACCAATGCATATGTTGAAACTCTAATCCTCAGTGTGACTGTATTTGGAGATTGGGACTTCAGGAGGTAATTAAATAAGGTCATAACTGTTATGATGGCTGGGAGAGGTCAATGGGGGAAAAAGGGGACATATGCAATACTGTCAACAATAAAGACTTAAAAAAAAAAGGTAATAAGAGTGAGGCCCTAATGCATTAGGATTGGTGGCCTAAATTAATAGGACTGGTAGACTTAGTGGTAGAAGACACAGAAAGAAGATGGCAGGAAATATAACTCTCATCAGAAACTGAATCGACCTGCAGTTGATCTTGGACGTTCCAGCCTCTAAAACTATGAGAAAATAAAGTTTGTTTAAGCCATGCAGTCTGTGGTATTTTGTTATGGCAGTCTGAGCTGACTAAGGTAATTAGTAACTTGGAAGTTTGCCTAAATTGGTCAAATAATAACTTGAAACAATCAAGTTACCTATGTATATAATTCTTAACTCACTTTTAATTACTTATTCATTCCCAAACCAGTTTTTATAAACTCAGGTACTCCTGGGCTGCAGATTTGAGTGTAATATAGACCTTAATCTCAAAGAATTTTCAGTCTAGACAGAGAGAAGAAGCACAAAATACCTTTAAGAGAGGAGAAAAACATGACAAGTCTAGTGACACATTTGCCATATGGAATGGTGTGAGTTCAGAGGAGGATGAAATCAGGTTTGGGATCTCTTATTAGAGCCCAAGGCATTAGAGCTGGGCTTACAATTTTGTAGACATGCTACTCCACAGGATCATTAAAATATGAATGTTTCTTTATGCTCATGTGTAAGAAGGCGTTAAAAGGACAAGAGTGCCCGTATTGGTCCATGTGTAAATATTTTGAGCCAACACATACCCTATCCAAGTCATCATGCCCTGGAGGATAGTTGTCCTATAGGAAAAAAGAAGGGGTCAGGGTTACTTAGCTGGCAAGAAGGAAGCCCGAGGAGATGAAATGTAATGTCTGCATAGGAGATGAGAAAGTCCTATGAAAAAGAGTAGCTATGGGAATGTATAAGACAATAAATGGAATATTATAGACTATATGCAATTGTCTGGAGATCTGTGGTCATAGTGGAATCGGTCCCATCAAGAGCTTTAAAAGGCCTGAATCCTAGGAATTCTTAATTTAAGCCCATTGAGTTATATGATCTGAAAATCTGATTCATTTGCCTAGAAAATACTGCAGGGAGAGTGAGAAATTAAATGGGACCCTCTAACATATAGATTTGAATTGATTCCACTGAGTGAGGAGAATATTCAAGATGAGATTTCTAAAGTCAGAACATGAGGCCAGTTAGTCCTTCATGTCTTTTATCACATAGGATCTCATTAATTTTCTTGGAACAAGCAGTTCCACATCTGCTTCACCATGTACCTAAGGCATCGACAGATAGTAACTTTACTATACGCAATTTCCGCATATTAGGAGGCTTAAAATGTTATCACCATTTGCTGGTTTTGACTAGTATGACTAGATATGTTCCTGAGTTAGAGACAAACTAGTGGCAAAATAAGATGAGGCATCACTAATGAAAATATAACACTTCTCATAAGTCAGGTCCTGCACATATTATTTTAGGCATGTTCTATACATTATACCATTTAATTCTTGCTAGTATTATTATTTCTGTTCTGTAAGTGGAGAGAACTGAGGTTCAGAGAAGCTCAGACTTTTGCCTACAGCAGTACAGCTAACAAGTTGGAGAGCCAAGATGCAAGCTCCGACCTTGCTGACATCAAAGCTGCTTGATGCTTTTTCTACTTTGAAAATTAAAGGGTCCTTGGTGGGAAGACATGCATAGGTTTGCTTAGTGGAATTGCTCTTCTCTAGAAAGGACCCCCCAGGAAGATTTCCACTTTACCTGCCAGCGCTGGGTCCCAGAAGATGAGAAAGACAAACACCATGAGGAGAGGCTTCATGGCTAGGCTCTGCTGTGGAGGAGGCTGGTGGTAGGGTCTGGCACGGGCTGTCAGAGAGCGAGAAAGGGAAGTACTCAGGTCTGAGGCGTGCCCTGCTCCGGTTGGATATGCTACACTGATCTCTCTTGAGGCACCTGAGTTGGCAAAGCTCAGATGAGGGAAAACTGACAGCTGTCCCCATTCAATAGCTTTTCCTTTTGACAAGGGCACTGCTCCCCACCTGGGTTTTCCAAAAGTACTAATGGAGACCTGAGAACGATATGCTATTTCTTTTTAAAATATATTTTTATTGATTTCAGACAGGAAAGGAGAGGGAGAGAGAGATAGAAGCATCATGATGAGAGAAAATCATTGATCGGCTGCCTCCTAAGGATCGAGCCTATGACCTGGGACCCTTCAGTCACCAGGTCGACGCTCTATCCACTGAACCAAACTGGTTAGGGCACAAAGGTCAATCTTTACTTTAACTGAGCCTGTCTGCTGTATTTTTTTTTTTTTTGCATCTATGATAACACACCTGAAAGCACACCTTTGAAATATCAAAGTAATTTCCTTTTTTCCAGACCCCTCAAAGCGCAACCACAGCATCAGAGCAAAGACAACAAATACCATCATTGTTATTATTATCAGAATAATTATTGGTTGTTAACTATTCTATATCCACAAATGTAAAAGAAGTATGTGTCTGTTCATTTTACTTTTTATCCAATCCTAGAGATTTCCCTGCTTGGCTTTCTCCAGTCCTCCTAAATCAGTGGTTCTCAACCTTCTGGCCCTTTAAATACAGTTCCTCATGTTGTGACCCAACCATAAAATTATTTTCATTGCTACTTCATAACTGTAACGTTGCTATTGTTATGAATCGTAATGTAAATATCTGATATGCAGGGTGGTCTTAGGCGACCCCTGTGAAAGGGTCGTTCGACTGCCAAAGGGGTCGTGACCCACAGGTTGAGAACCGCTGTCCTAAAGTATCACCAATGAATTTCATGTAACCATCCTTACACCTCCTCCTTTAATTGTAATCCTATCTAATAAAGAGGGAATATGCTAATTGACCCTCATGCCATTGTAAAGATGGTAGCTCCCACAGCCAATAATTGACTGCCCACCCTCAAAGATGATGGTGCCCACAGCCAATAAGGAGGGAATATGCTAATTGACTGCCACACCCTCAAATATGGCGGTGCCCACAGCCACAAGATGGCAGTGCCCAGTCCCCTCAGCCCCATCAGGGTGGCAGGCACATGGCAAGGCCTCCAGAGACCCCCAATCCCCTCAGCCTCCCAGCTGACCAGGGCTGGCCCAAGGCACAGGCAAGCCTCGGATGGTGGCTGCCCAGCCAATGCCCGAGGCACAGGCAAGCCTTGATGTCAGCTGCCCAGACGCCCAGGGCCACCCGAAGCTCAGGTAACCAGGGCCAGCCGAGGCTTGCACTGCTGGCAGTGGCAGCAGCAGAGGTGTGATGGGGCATTACCTTCCCCTGATTGCTGGGTTGCCTCCTGTCCCTGAGGGCTCCTGGACTGTGAGAGGGGGCAGGCCGGGCTGAAGAACCCCCCACCTCCAGTGCATGAATTTTCATGCACCGGGCCTCTAAGTGTATAAAATAAGGTGCATAAAAAAATAAAACAATAAAAAAAAATAAAATAAGGTGCATAACTGTCATTCCCTTGAGTTTTTTCTCAATCCCTTAAGATTTTGCTTCCCAGCAATTGTCATCAGTTTAGCTCAAATAAACTCATAAAAATACACATTTGGGCGTGTCTTATGTTGACATCACCCCAATAAATTTAATTAAAAAATAAATTAAAGAAAGAAGTAAAAAATAAAAGAAGTCTGGTGTATTAGTTCTCAAGAGCTGCCATAATAAATGACCACAAACTAGATAGCTTAAACAATGAAATGTATTGTGTCATTGTTCTGAAGGTTAGAAGTCTGAGATTAAGGTTTTTCTAAACCAAGTCTTAAATAAGTTGGAGGCAGCAGGAGAGTATAAGAGTGAATGAGGAAAGACAGCTTATATTGTGATGGGTCACTGTTTCTGTTTTTAGTCCTGGTCTTTATATAATGAGAGAGGAGAGAAATGGCATAGGGTAATGGAGGACAGAAATACTGTGTGGTCTGAGAGCAATGATGCACTAGTGTTTCCTTATGTTAGTAGAATACAGAGAGGTGGCAAGAACATAGCTCAGCATTGATTGCATGGTCCGATTTAGTAAATAGTCTCATAGCATTGGTTCCCCTTCCCTCACACAGGTCCCCCCAGCGTGGGAAGGGAGCAGTAGCATAATCCCTGTATGGCTGAGATCATGGAAGTGGTGAAGTCATAGACAGTCCCATATGAATTTCTGGTAACCCAGAATGATGTATGAGTAGCAGAAGTAGCGTATGCACTAAGGAATGAGCCTCACCCAAAGAGTTTTAATAATTTTATTAAGAATAAGAGGCAACTCAGCAGTCATACCTTGACTAGTGATGGGAGACCAAGTCAGGAGGATGTCTTAATCAAGGCTCTCTCAGATGCCTCACCAATGTTTAACTTCTCTGGAACTTATAAGTAACTTGGAGAAAAGAGAAGTGACTCTAAATTGACTATATTTCAGTTTCTGTGATCAGGTAGCATGAAGTTCATAATAGGAATTAAGTTCATTTATAAAAAATTAAGTTATACTTTTGCATGTGCCTAGTGGACTGATACTGATATTCCTTTATGCTAAAATTCTACTATGCCAAAACATCTCTCTTTTATTATTTATTTATTTATTTATTTATTATTATTATTAATCCTTACCCAAGGATATCTTTCCATTGATTTTTAGAGAGTGGAAGGAGGGGGAGAGACAGAGAGAGAAAAATTGATATCTCTTACATTGGTTGCCTCCCTCAAGCACTCTGACTAGGCTCGGGGATCAAGCCTGCAACTGACCTACACCCTTGACCTACACCCTTCAGTCTGCAGGCTGGTGCTCTATCCACTGAGCAAAACTGGCTAGGCCCCAAAACATCTCCTTATTAACTTTCCTCATACTCCCAACCTACTTTCTCTAGAGTCAAGTTTAGTGAGCTAAATAAGCTAACCATCTCTTTGTCAGCTTTGAAACCGCAGGATCCCCTTTTATACTTTCTTCTCATTATATTATATGGCCACTAAATTTTCTCATTCCTCTTCCTGAAATCCAACTGCCTCTCTTCTTTCTTCTTGGTCCTCATTCTAGTGTTCTGGTCCTAGATTACTAAAATATCGTAATGTTGCATAAATATGTTTTGTTTATATAAGATTGTATTACCTCAGAAACAGAAAATATACCTTCTTTTAAAAACCACGGGAAATTTGAACAAATATCAATTTTATCTTAGACCACAAAGAATGATTTAACAGATTCCAAAATGCTGTAAGACAGATCACATTCTCTGGTCCATGAAATTATAATGAACACATATGGAGCTTATATTGGGGTCAGGTGCTGCTTCAGGGTTTATGTATATTAATGCATATAATCCTCATAACACCATGATGTAGGTACTATTGTTACCCCACTTCATAAATAAGGAAACCGGGGTTGGGAGAGACTAAAGCATTTCCCCAAGGTTAAAAAGTGAATAAGTGGTGGGGCTGGGTTCTCGTATTATTGGTGAAACAACAATGTGGTTGTGAATCTAAACTGAGGAAATGAATGTAAACATGCACACATGAAAATAGAATGTAAGCCTTTATTAAATTTATATTTATTTTAACCTCAACAGAATTATCATGAATTTCCATTATCTTTCATATTAATCATTCTTTCTAAAAAAATTTAAAAATATATTTTAATTGATTTCAGAGAAGAAGGGAGAGAGAGAGAGAGAGAGAGAGAGCTAGAAACATCAATGATGATCAGCACTTTTTGGCTGCCTCCTGTATGCCTCCCCCTGGGGATCGAGCCCAAAACCTGGGCATGTCCCCTGACCATGAATCAAATTGTGACCTCCTGGTTCATAGGTTGATGCTCAGTGACTGAGCCACGCTGGCCGGACTAATTATTCTTATGTAGAGATGGGAATCTTATTCATTTTTAGTTTCTGTTCTTGGAGTCTGAAGAAAATGGAGCTGGACTTTTCACCACTTCTTTCTTTTGTTCAAGTCAACTTTCTTTACTCTGCAGCAGATGCTCCAGTCAGAACAGTATCTAACTGCATATTCATCATGATTGCACTTCATTTTGCATTTATGGTATAATGAAGAACATCTGCTGTTAAAAATAAAGCTTCTCGCTTTGAAAAGAGAAAACATCATATTGTGTTATGTTAGTTATTTGTATATTTTAATGTTGAAAGTGTTCCATAATAAATTAAAACAACAACAATGAAGAACTTGCCCAGAAAAAAAATAACAAAAAAATTATAGTTGAGAAAAGTGGAGATCATGAATAAAGGAAAATGATTATTTCTTCTGTAAGTGGAAATAGCTGAAAAGGAGAAAGGTTTCTGATGAGAACTGTTACAGCATATTTTTTTTCTAAAATGACACATTCATTTTGGGGTGAAGATTTATGATTTAAGAATGTTCAATTTCAAGAGTGAGTTTTTAAAAAGTGAGTGGGGATAAAATTCAGGGTGTAGGAGGAAGGGGTAGCCTTAAGTCAGAAAATCAAGAGAAGACAGAGTAAGCTTACATTAGAAGCTGTATGGTGGTGGAAAAATGGGGAAGTTATCTCTTGTTTCCTTTACTTTCTTGGGTTATTAAAAAAAAAATCATCAATAGAGAATGAGAAGGAGACAGAGGGAGTTGTGTCTTGGCTCCAACTTTCCAGTGTATTTAGGCCCCAAACCATGTCTCATTTACTAAGGAAGTTTCTGAGATCTACACAAGATCCCATGAGCCATAATCTCTCACTCCAGTTCCCAGATCTCTCTCACTCTCTCATTCTCTCTTCTTCTATCCTTTGCTCCCAAACAAAACTATCCTAAGTTTTATAGTAATAATTTCCTTACTTTTAAAAATGTGTTTTAATACCTGA